GCTTCACACCTGCAACTTCTCACCTTCAGCTTCTCACCTTCAGCTTCACACCTGCAGCTTCTCACCTTCAGCTTCTCACCTTCAGCTTCTCACCTGCAGCTTCTCACCTGCAGCTTCTCACCTGCAGCTTCACACCTGCAACTTCTCACCTTCAGCTTCTCACCTTCAGCTTCACACCTGCAGCTTCTCACCTTCAGCTTCTCACCTTCAGCTTCTCACCTTCAGCTTCTCACTTGCAGCTTCACACCTGCAACTTCTCACCTGCAACTTCTCACCTTCAGCTTCTCACCTTCAGCTTCTCACCTGCAGCTTCTCACCTTCAGCTTCTCATCTGCAACTTCTCACCTGCATCTTCTCACCTGCAGCTTCTCACCTTCAGCTTCTCACCTGCAGCTTCTCATCTTCAACTTCTCACCTGCAGCTTCTCACCTGCAGCTTCTCACCTGCAGCTTCTCACCTTCAGCTTCTCACCTGCAGCTTCACACCTGCAGCTTCTCACCTTCAGCTTCTCACCTGCAGCTTCTCACCTGCAGCTTCTCACCTGCAGCTTATCACCTGCAGCTTCTCACCTGCAGACGGTCCATGCCCCGCCTCCACCAGGTGCTTCCAAACGTCTCTTTCTGTTCCAGGAACCTACGACGAGGACGGCGAGCACTTGGAGCTGGAGTGGAGTGACAACGTGGGTCAGGCCTTCGCTCAGGGCGGCCTCCGCCTGGACCAGAACCAGATCTCCGTCCCACAAACGGGCCTGTACTTCGTCTATGGCCAGGCATCGTTCCGCGTGTCTTGCGTCGACGAAGCGGGGGCCACGTGGCGCCCAGCGACCCTCAGCCACAGGATCTGGCGCCTCTCGGATTCCATAGGAACCAAAGTGTCCCTGATGAGCGCCGTGAGGTCAGCGTGTCAAAACGTGCCGGAGGTCGGTGGGAAATCGGGCCAGGGCTGCTACAGCGCCATCTACCTGGGCGCCGTGTTTCAGCTGAACAAAGGCGACCGGCTGTGGACCGAGACCAACCAGCTGTCGGACCTGGAGACCGACGACGGCAAGACGTTCTTTGGTGCCTTCGCCCTTTGACCTCCCTGATCTAAAGGCCAGAACACCTGGACAGGTTTTTTTATTTAAATGCACATTTTTAACTTTTATTCATCCTAAAGGTGACGTTAAAAATGTTCAAATCTCCATGGAGACAGAACTTGTAGCCGAACGGCTGCGGACTTTATAAACTGTAACAGTTTGAGACCTTCTCTCTGGTTTAGGCACTTTTTTATTCCATTTCTGCTGATCTGAGATCGTCTTTGTCTGCCGTAGCAGATTTCAGCACACTTTATTACTATTTACTGTTTGTATTTATTTGTATTTATTGATATTTATGTCAATGGGTTTTGGTGTTAAATGTTATATTTTGTACTTTGAATAATAAAATGTATCTTAAAAACATTCTGAAGATTTATGACCCCTACATCATGTGGCTTAATGACACAAAAAAAATGCTCCAAAGATTCATAACAATTATAATCCAAATTATATATAAAACTTGTTTTTATTTGTAAAAATCCTCTCGGGACCGTAACTTGGTGTTTTCTGTCCCACAGTGGGGCCCTGAGCCCAACTTTGGGAACCACTGGTTTAAAGTGTAGGAGAAGTTACGGAAGACCAGAACTGCCAAAAATAAAATACAGAAATAAATGGTTCGGTAAAGTTAACAGTGACTCAACAAATGTGACAAAAAAAAATCTAACCAAAAAAGAGATTTACAAGATTATTAAGGAATGTGGCAAAAATTAAAAAAATATATATTATTAACCGTAGTGAATTATCCATATGTCTGTTTTTATTCTTCAGTCGTCAATTGTTGCTTATCATTTCTTTCTTTTTTGATTTTTAGATGCATCTATTTTTGTTCTCCCTTTATATTTGATTTATTTTTCTCTAAAATTACAAAATTTTTTATTTTAACTAAACCCTTTTTCTTTGCATTAATTGCCACATTTTAACTGTATTTTCTTCTCTTTCATCTCGCCTCATTAGTCACTATGGTAACCACACACCTGTGTCCGTCACTCCCTGCTGGCTCTCTTAATTAAACAAACAGAAACACAGACTAGAAAGTAAGCCTCAAACAAAAAGTCACTCTCAGAGTTCCAGTGGCCCCAAAATCTCAACAAAGAAGCGAATAAAAGGAGAAAAACTCCCAAAACAAACATTTAGGACACTTTGTGACCAAACTGGAATAAATAAACTGTTGACAGAATATTAACGTTATTAACTAAATGTCTTAAGAATGTCACAATTTATACAATTAATGCAACAACCCCACTTGTTTTAATTGTCCTGCAACACGTTCGCCATAGCTAAAGTTAGTGTGTGTGTGTGTGTGGGGGGGGGGGGGGGGGGGGGGGGGTCACTGCTGCTTCATGAAGAACCTGAAGCCAGTTCATGAGACTCCCAAGAGTAAATTTGTGTATTTTCTTGTAATTTTTTTTGTCTCTAAGAGCTTGGAAAATCCAGAACCCATTAAAGAATGTGCCTAATCTGCAGCTTGTTTCACAGCTGACACACACACACACACACACACACACACACTCACACACACACACACACACACACACAACGCTGGTCTGAAATTCCTCCCCAGCCAACAAATGCTTCCTGTGTTAGATCACACAAGTGGAGGGAAATTTCCTGCCTGGTTTTGTTTGGTCTTTGGCTTCCCACCGCGTGCTGATGTCAGGTGGAGGCCCGCAGAACTCTCGGCCCAGACTGGGTTTTCCCCAGCGACACCCCCTCACAAACACACAACCTTCCTCCTCCATCACGGTTACCACATCCCACAATCTCCAGTCAGCTGGAAACAAAGAAGCAGTGTGTGTGTGTGTGTGTGTGTGGGACAGCCCCACAGCTGGTTTTTATCACACTGTCATCATCTAAAAGAAACTTCACACAGACGGACACAGTGAGGTGGTTTCGTCGGATCTACCCACAGACGACGGCTGATCAGGTTCCCACCGGAGCGTTCCCGACGCGCCACCTCTATAATTTCACCTTCTGGGTTCATCTGAATGTCTTGAGTGAAGAATCTGCTCCACCTGAGGGGATAAATCCCTGAGAGAAGCGACAGACGTCTGCTGCCACCTGGTGGTCAGAGAACACAAGTGACGGAGTGGAAAAGACGAGTTTTATTCGTGTTAGCCGTAGACGAGCGCACACTCTGAAATATACCAACATTTAGATATAGTGACTATAAATAACTCCAGCTTCATGTTGATTATGAGATATATGAGCAGGACGGTCTGAAACAGTTCATGAAGACGGAGCAGTTCGTTCACAGCTGAAACTAGAACGACCGATCAGCTGATTGATCCGCCATTAACTGATCAATAATTAACTGCCTGGATAATTACACAGAACTTTATGTCCCACTTTCATACATTTACAACGTTCTTCAATGGAAAAACAAAAACTTAATCATAATAAAACATAAGAAACCTCTTTACAGAGAGAACGGGCTTATTTTGAATAAAATCAAAGCGTTTGATGGACTCCATCTCACTTTGTGGTTTAAAGTGATAATTACAGTGTTTTTATTAGGGGCGTGTTCCCAGCGCTCAGGTGTCGCTGAGGGACAGACACTAAATGTTTGTAGGTATGAGTGTTTTTCTGGACTGGAACTGAACAGAGAGTGAAGTAAACCTAAATGTTTTGGGTGAAGATATTTAGGCGGGGAGGAGTTCCTGTGGAGAGCAGAGGGAGGTCGTTTTTTTTTTCTTGTTCGAGGCAAAGTGGTGGAGGAGAGAGACATTTTATCACCACCTGTTGCAGTGATGGAGCCAAGGGGTGGCCAATGGTGGCATGGGCCCTCACGGATCAATCTTCAGCCACCTCATGAGTTGAGGAAACTTTACTATTAAGAAATAAAACTACTAGAAAGCAAAGTTTCCTCAGATGATGGGGCGGCTGGTTCATATATATATATATATAAACGTTTCTTACGCCGAGATGCAGCCACACACCAAAATGGAAGTCAGTGGCTTATATTTTATATAAATATATATATTATATAATTATTTTTTAATTACAATTGTATTATTGTCATTTATTGCTTTCAGAGCACTCCGACAAGCTCCTCTTGTTTACAGAAGTTTTGTAAATCAACAAGTTCCAGCTTCACAGCTCTTGTTTCCTGAGCTCTGCACTGAGGGAAGACACGTTTTGACCCCACGCTCTCATACAGGAGCGTTTCCTGCATGTAGGCATGACTTTTGGTCATTTGCAAGGGGGGCGCAGTCGGCATGTTTGCTGAAAGGAGGTGTCTCGTGCGCTCAGGTCCTTGTTGACCAGGATGTACGCAGGAATCACTGCACGGAGTCAAACGCCTGCATGGGTCTGTGCGTACGTCGTTCCCTGGATTTCACCGTACGCCATGTTCCAGCAGCAAATCCGTGCAGATCTGTACATGAGATCCCAGGTGAGGACCACAGAGCTCCATCTACAGTAATTGTCTTTGTTTCGAGCCTGAAATGACCGTCTGTGGGTGGTGTGACCATTTGGACGGCTCAGTCTCAGGTGGGACTGAAGACGTCTCCACCCTTTGAGCTGGTCTGGGTCTCACCTGGGTTTGATTTGGTGGTCTGAATCAGAAACATTATAAAGATGAACGAGGCGTCCCCGTCTACGTCTGTTGCACCAAACGGAAGTTTTAAATGTTGTTTTTTTGGTGCCAGAGTAACTTGAGATGACTCTAAGCTCCGCCTACTCCTCCCAAACGCACAATAATTGTGTTAATTTAGGCATTAAATACACAACTTAAACTAAACTTCTAAAAAATAACATTTTAACATAAAGCAGCAAGATGAGAACTACGTGAATCAACGGTATCTGAAGAGTATTTTTATTTTTTAATGTCCTGTTTATTTACCACAGCCAGCCTGCAGGGGGCGCTCTTCTTGTTTTGACTTCAACTTCTGTTGCACGGATCAGCAGCTGGTTATTTGATTAAAGAACTATCAGTAGGAATATTTTAATAATGGTTGTTGTTGTTGTTATTTGTCTTAACGTTGGCTCAATGAATGGTTTACGAGAACGGTGAACAGCTTTCAGAGATGAGTGGACTTTAAGGTGTGAACACCTGGATCTAAAGGTGAATCATGTCTCAGGTGGGCAGTTTTATGTCAGCACCAGGTCTGAGCTGGTCCAGATGTTGTGACATGTTGCTGCAAAGACAAACTAACGTTTCAGTTTTGTGTTGTAAAAACCAACACGGGGTCAAAACGTTTGGAGGACGTGCAGAAATGGAAAATGTGTTAAACAAATGTCTTTGAAAAATCGTACAGCAAACGTTTGTTGTTGTTTTCTTTTCCAGCTGAATACAACAAACAGACCAGTGATCGTTTCCGATAAACAAAATTTAAAATAAAACACGTATCTCAAAACAAACATCACTTAAACTTACAAAACTAACAAATTCACCTTCGTAAATCTGTAAACGGTCATGAGGCGGATAAATCAGCAGTGCTGATCCAAACATGCTCCGCCTCCTGACCTTTGACCTGCCTGATAAGTCACATGTTCAGAGTCCGGACATCAGTTTAGATGTAAAGAAAACAAAAACTGTACATTTGTTTTGTCCTGTTCCGAGTCCGCCGTTCTCCTGACAGGTCAGTGACTAAAAGAACAACGTGACAAATTTTACGGAACGATAAAAACCACCACTGGTTTGAGAAAATCTCATCAACGAACTTGAGCGACAAAACGTGGAGACGACGATCGCAAAAACAAGAACACGACGTTTAAAGATCTTTGTCTCCACGACGGAACCAGGAAACAAACGAGAACGAGACGATCGGTCCTTTCAGAGTCCGGCCGTACCATTGCTCTGAGATGTGCTTCTTGTTGTGCTGTCTCCACTCAGTTTGAGGATTTGGGCCGTCAGATGAAAACTGTGGGGAGGGGGTGGGGGTGGGGGGGGGGGTTCCTGCGTAAGCCCCCACCCCCCAGATGTGAGAATCTCTTGAGCTGTATTTCAGACAGTGTCATCACATCAAACAAGTGAAAGTCACAGTGTCTTTTTGTGTTTTGTGTCTCCCTGTTTGTGCACTGTGACCCCCCCGCCCCTCGCCCCATCCCATCCAGACCCCCCCACCTGGAACTTATTTGTAGAGCAGGGGGATCTGGCTGTTGTGACAGTGGTTGCGGCTCATCTTGCTGTCGGCTGGATACAGGCTGGAGGAGTTGGAGAAGGAAGGAGGCAGGGAGTGATTGTCCGTGGTGGGGTTCGGGTAGCCCGGCGGGGGCAGCAGGGACTTGGGGTCTTGCTGGGATGAAGGTGGCGGGGCGTTGTGGTTCTGATTCTGGCCAGCAGTGGGCAGACGACGATTGCGTAAAGCCTGACGCTCAGCAAGCTGGTTGCGGAGTGCCGACACCCTTTCTTCTTTCTAAACAAAAACAACCAGAGAATTAGCATGGAGCTAATCAGTTTAATGTAACAACAAGAGAGTTAACATGATTCTAATTAGCTTAACATAACAACAGGAGAGTTAACATGGTGCTAATTAGCTTAATCAGGTCTCTCTTGTAAATGATTCCTCGAGGCTCAATGGGATTTACCTGTCTAAATAAAGGATGAATGAACGTAACAACAGGAGAGTTAGCATGGTGTTAATTAGCTTAGCTTGACGTAACAACAGGAGAGCTAGCATGAAGCTAAATAGCTTAACATAACAACAGGAGAGTTAACATGGAGCTAATAAGCTTAACGTAACAACAACAGAGTTAGCATGGTGCTAATTAGCTTAATGTGACAACAGGTGAGTTAGCATGGTGCTAATTAGCTTAACGTAACAATAGGAGAGTTAACATGGAGCTAATTAGCTTAACATAACAG